TCCTACTCAAACTATTCCAAAACATAGAAAAGGATGGAATCCTCCCTAACTCATTTTATAAAGCAAGCATAACCTCGATACCAAAACCAGGCAAAGACATCAGTCAAAAGGAAAGCTACAGAACAATATCCCTTATGAATATAGATGCAATAATATTTAATAAAATCCTAGCCAATAGACTCCAACAACATATCAAGAAAATAATTCATTATGACCAAGTGGGATTCACATCAGGTACTCAAGGATGGTTCAACATTAGAAAAACAGTCATCATCATCATCCACCACATTAATAAAACAAAGAAGAACCACATGATTGTATCAATTGATACAGAAAAGGCATTTGATAAAATTCAACACCAATTCTTGTTCAAAACTCTCAGCAAAATAGGAATAGAAGAGACATTCCTCAACATAATAAAGGGCATCTATGAAAAAACCAAGACCAGCATTATACTCAGTGGAAAGAGACTGAAATCATTCCCCTTGTTAACAGGAACCAGACAAAGATGCCCTCTATCACCACTTCTATTCATTGTACTAGAAGTTCTAGCCGATGCCATAAAGCAAGAAAGGGAAATAAAAAGCATCCAGATTGGTAAGGAAGAAGTCAAATTATCCCTATTTTCTGATGATATGATCCTATACCTAGAAAACCCAACAAACTCAGTCAAAAATCTACTGGAACTAATTGGGAGATTTAGCATCGTGGCAGGATACAAGATCAATGTCCAAAAATCAGTTGGATTCCTCTACACCAGCAAAAGAAATTGCTGAAAAAGAAATAAGGAAATCAATATCATTTACAATAGCTACAGAAGGAAGGTTGGCAATCTACTTCCATAGTGGTACTGCTTCGGAAACTCAAGGATGGGTCACTATGAGTCGCATCCGATTTGACGGCAAATAACAACAACCACCACCAAGAAAATATAATACTTGAGAATAAATCTTACCAGGACACAAAAGACCTGTACAAAGAAAACTATAAAAAACTACTTCAAGAGACCATAAGAGATATACATAAATGGAAGAAGATCCCACGCTCGTGGATAGGAAGATAGAACATTGGGAAAATGTCAGTGCTACCCAAAGCAATCTATACATTCAATGCAATCCCAATCCAGATCCAGTCAACATCTTTTAAGGATATGGAAAAACCAATCACTAACTCTGTATGGAAATGAAAGAGACTTCGGATAAGCAAAGCACTATTGAAGTAGGAGATCTCACACTGCCGGATCTGAAAACCTACTACATAGCCACAGTAGTCAAAACTGACTGGTATTGGTACACTGACAGACACGTAGGCCAGTGGAATAGAATTGAGAACCCAGAAATCGATCCATTGACCTATGGTCAGCTGATCTTTGACAAAGGCCCAAAGTCCATTAAATAGGGGAGAGAATGTTTGTTTAATAAATGGTGCTGGCAAAACTGGATATCCAGTTGAATAAAAATGAAGCAAGATCTGTACCTCACACCATACACAAAAACTAACTCCAGATGAATCAAAGACTTAATGTGAAATCTAAAGCTATAGAATTCCTCAAGGAAAATTTAGAGGTCCTAATATATGGCAAGGAGCTCTGGTAGCATAGTGCCTAAGGCACTTGACTGCTAACCAGAAGGCCAGCGGTTCAAACCCACCAGCCACTCCTCGGAAGCAAGGTTGGGCATTCCTACTTCCGTAGTGATACTGCCTTGGAAACCCAAGGAGGGGTCACTGAGTCGGGGCCGACTCGATGGCAAATAACAACAACAACAATATATGGCATAAATAAATTATTGAGCTTAACTCAAAATGCACAAACAGCAGAAGAGAAACTAGATGATGGGACCTTCTAAAAATTAAATTTTTATGTGCTTCCACAGACTTCTCCAAAAGAGTCCAAAGAGAATGACAGAGTGGGAAAAAATATTTGGCAATGACATATCTGACCAGGGACTTAACTCTAGAATTTATAGCAAACTCCAACAGCTTAATAACAAAAAGGCCAACAATCCAATTAAAAAATGGGCATAGTTTGGTTATCCGTTCCTCAGGTGATGGACACCTAGGTTGTTTCCATCTTTTGGCTA